TGATGATTATATGCCAATGCAAGTTTCTTTCCGTGAAGAATATGAGGCAGTGGCTGATGCTTGTTGGTTTAATGAAAATCATCGTATTAGTCAAGGGTATACAACAAATTTATTACATTAATTTTCATTATTCTAGATTTGATACTTACTTTATTTTATACAATCACTAGATTTCCAAAAACGCTTCCATTCTCTCAAGCATACCCTTCCTGTTGTTTGGATATTAAAAATTTTGTGAATCAATATTATCAATTTGCCGAGGAAGATTCGAAGAGATACAGTTTTATTGATGATATAGTCCAACAGGTTCATTATTTTTATTAATGTACTTTATCCGAATACCTATATGATTCCTTCTGACTTAATTTAAACCTGAATTTCCTTTTTTTGAAAGACTCTTGACCATCTTCTTATCGATCATGTGGATGGAGCGTTACGTGGCAAATTACAAAGTAATAATATGACACAAATTGTTCAAATCATAATCAACCTCGAATATTTTGAAGGTGCATGTGCTGAACTCGAAAAGTTGCTTAAAGCTAAAAGGTATCGCGTATGTCGCCATTATTGTATTGGAATGTCTTTTATTAAATGCAGTTTTATAACAGATAATATTATATATTTCAAGATCTTCTCACCGTGGAGGAAATATTAAATTATTTGCAATAGATGAATTTAGAGAGACACGTAAGAAAGCCGAAAAGCGTATATTTGAATTAGTTAATTCCAAGATCGATGACTTTTTGGGATTAGCAGATTATGATTGGTATATAGATTTTTTTTCTCACAATTTATTGCAAATTATCCTCATAATTTATTATAATTTATTGAGAATTATCCTCATAATTTATTATAATTTATTGCGAATTATCCTCATAATTTATTATAATTTATTGCGAATTATCCTCATAATTTATTACAAATATATTATTAGGGCACCTGTATCATGTCAACAGTATCCAAGTCTATTTCTTCAAGGTTAATATAGCTTGAATGCGTATACAGTATATTGTAAAAGTGCTTAAATTTAACTAATTTCATTATAGATATGGTTGAATTTCTTGGCACTCTTCTCAGCTCCACATTATACAATTTACCGGTGTCGATCAAAACTTTTATATATTTTGATGCCCTAAGTCATTTAGCAACTTCTATTCGTGTACATATAATAATTTTTTGTGTCAAAATATATTCTATAGAAAGTTTAAATTCTTATTGTTATGATTTGTAGGATTTAATTTTGGACCCAGGTGTCAAAAGAATTAACTCTAATGCTATAATAAATTTTGATTTGGATGTCACATTTTTGGAAAATTTCGCACGTGGACTTGAGGATCCGAATATTGCTGATGCATTTTTAGAATTAAGACAGGTATAATTAATGTTATTGGTGAAAATTGACTTCTTGTAGTTTAATAACTTATGGATTTATTGATATCAAATATTTGTTGTTACTATAGATTGTTACATTGCTTCGGGCAGATAATGTAGAAGAGTATCTAGATCCTTCTTTGCGAAACAAAAAATATTCTCGTCTCAGACCAACAGACGTGGTTAATTTATTCGAAAAGTAGTTACATTTTATATTTATTATAGCGCATATATATATATGAAATTTATTAACATACATTTATGTTATATAGGTGGTTAAAAGATCATACAGTAATTAGCTTGGATTCAGAGGAACGGGCCAAAAAACGAGCGATGGAAGGCGTTGTACGTTCTTTACGATTTTCAACTAAAGAATAGCTAAAAAAATACGACCACTCTAAATTATAGATTTAATAATTTAAAAAAAAACTTTAACGGTTGGAATAAAAAAATTAATTATTTTTTAATAAATTTTACCCTGGAATTTTGAAGTTATCCTTATTTTTAATAAAGGTTTGAAGTTACATAGTTTAATACAACTCATTTACTTGTAGCAGTAACCTTTGTTGCTTGTAGAAATAGAGTATAGAGCATTCGCGTGACGTCACTTATTTTAATTTTTTCGAGTGTGATAACAAAATGGTTACGTAGCCAAAATATCTAATTAACAAAATTAGCAAAACTATCTATTATAAATTTTAATGCAGTCTATATTTGCCTTTGATGAGTTCTTTGTAATTTATCTAGCAATGCATATATAATTATTTAATATAAATCGCTGAAGGACAAAGCAATGATCACATGTTTAGTGCAAATGCGGCAAACAATGTTGCTAACCGTTTTGTTAAAAAAGCTATATAGCGCCATTTTATATTATTTTGGATAATTTTGGACGTTACGTACTAAAATTTGGTGACTCAGAATTAAATCAGGCCGATTAAGAAAGTTAAATGGTGCATTAGCCTATAAACAATTAGATAATATTGTTACATGTCTGATTAGTTAGGAGCTTGTATGTTTGAGTGTCTGTCTGTCTAAGATTATAATCTAATAATAGAAACATCCTGAACTAAAACGATACTATATACCGAAATAGTGACCATTTACTGCGTTCATATCCATTGTTTGTGTTTTTTTCAAAATTTAGTCATATAGCAAATAAATTTGTACTACGTATATAAATATGAATTATTAAGAACAATCCTTTCCATTAAATTCAACCGATCATTTTAGCTTTGTTTCAGTAGCGTTTCGAATGATTATAATTATCACAATTACGAATCAGGAGTAGGCTATTCCAATAATCGGTCACAATGTTACAAAATTCCCATATCTATTGTTCGTATCGGTACATTATAAATTGTTATTAGCATAATAAGGAAAACAATTACGAGATCATAGGCATGAATATTAGTTCAAAAATCGTATTCCTTAAAAATAGCATACATGGTTTCAAATAACGCCTATGCGCATCCGAAATCCCGAAATTCCTAAAAAATTTTTTACTAATGAAATTTACCGAATGCATAAGATTACGAATTACAACACACGACAATGATATATAGACGTCACTTACCCGAATTTTATGACACCAGGAAATTAGTTTGCTATCCCTGACTCTCTGACATGAATGCTATTTTGGAATAATGTTCTGCAGAAAATTGGTCCCTATTTCAAAATAACACGCGCACATGTTCAATTTGACCATGAACGCCTGGGGTGTTACAAATCTATTAGCCCACAAACATATTGATAGACCAAACGGGTTAATAAATTGTCAACTTTTTTTTTAGCAAATATTATGATGTTGGTTTTGTGTTTCGTTTTTTTTTAACAGCTGCCCTACCTTGTTTAGCGCGTCAGGGGTGCGTCGAGTGTAACCTGGGTTTGCATAGAAGAGCTTTTTCCTGCATTGCGAATAGAGGCGTCGAACAAACCTGTGAATTTTGAAAATAGTAGTTACTGTAGTGATCCCAATGGTCAAACTGATCAAGCTCGTATGTCAAAATTTCCAATAAAAATCATTTACGTACGTACGTATCAGAGTGTCCAGCTATTTCTAGCATCTAAAATAGCGCTATTTCTAGCAAATTGCTAGAAATAGCTAGCTACATTG